TCCGAGACGATAAAGGACCGCCGCTGCGCCGCGGAACCGATTTCGCTTGCCGATCTCAGTAAAACCGCTTTTCGTACGTCGCTTTGCATACCGCCTTTCGTTATTCCGCGTTTTCGAACACGCTTTCGCCGCCTTGCTCGTCGTAGCCTCTGTGCGCGCTTCACGGCTTCCTTGGCTAAAAGGAAAAGACTGTAAATAACTGTACATTATACATTTTTGAATATATTTAGTTTATTTTTCAATTCTGTGCTTGTCCCCTTTTTTTGTGGTCGTCTTCTACCTCGCGCTTTCTTGCGCTACCGCGTGCTCTCAAACACACATAGAAAGGCAGGTCCTTCTAGAACTGGTAGTAAATCATTAGAAACATGGAAGGCTAAAAAACGTAAGGTGATATCTGATGTAAGTGTCTTATAATTTTACCTTTAGATTACCTTGATTATTTTTCAAAAACGCTTAGATTAGAATTATTCTGAACTGTCATAAAAAATTGCAATTATTTTTTTTTAAGTAATTTATATCACGTCGAATTGGACTAACAGAAATGGGTGAAATAAGAATATGTCAGATAATTTGCATATTTGTACATGTTGAATACATTTTACTTTTGTTTTGAGGATACAAGCTCCGAAGAGGAAGATTCAACTGAAAAGGAATTTGTACGAAAAATAAACTGTTTGCAAAAAGAGAATAAACAGAAATCCAAGAATATAAAGAAACAAAAACGCACTATGGAGGACATGTTGAACGGTAGTCATTATTTATTATTATACATGAGCGATGTTATGTTCAACTTGTCCATTTAGTAAAAAAATAAAAGTTTTATCTATAAAGTTTTCGAACGCTACTGATCGTATACTTTTGCAAATAAAAATCTCTACCAGTCAATCGGACTTTAACTATAGATTTTTCGAATAATTTCTCTAATTTCTGAGCAGTGATTAACTTAATGTAGTAGAGCGCATGTTTATGTTAATAATGTTCTTGATCATATTTGGAGTTATTTATAAATTGTCTTTGATTTTTCAACATTATAGATTCATAAATATATGCAAAACTATTTTTTATGACACCAAAGCATGTCTAGAAAAATTATTATACCGATTCTAAGATATCTGTGACTTTTATATTCATTTCTTTTAAATTTCGGTGTCATATTAATCGCTGCAGAATCCATTCAAACCAGACACTTGGAAAGAATCAATGATATAATACATAAAATTTTTCGAGTATGCACAAAAACAAAATTAAGGAATATATATTTGCTATATTCACTGCTGGCTTTATATTATCTCATAATATGAATATCTCTTGAAGAATATATTTCGTGAAAATTACAACAATAAATACTGCATTGTAGGTGTACCTTTAAGATATATTAAGCGTTGATAAACATATATAAAACTTAGAAAAATCTTTAAAAAATAATACTAAAAACAATTGAAACTTAAGGTTTGTTTTATATTGACATGGTACGTTTGTAATGACACAATACAATAAAGTAAATGATTACAAATTTAATTTGCATTTTCTTTTTGGCGTAATTTGGTTTGAGAATTGCCAAATTTAGGAGATTTTTTTGTATATAACGACAGTTAAAAGAAAATTTAAGTGATTCGTCATCTTGTGAGCTAACTTTTATTCATTTACTGCAGATTTAACTTCGGCAGCAGCATTAAGCAAAAAAGTGTTAGATAATTTGAAGTCTGTAGATGACTACCTCATGTCTGCAAATGCGAAACCTCACTCAAAACTAAAAGAAAAGTTTGAAACTAGTGATCCAAAACAAAATAATGTGCAAAATGACATACACGACGAATCATTCCAAATGGATTTTGACAAACAAGAAAATCTTTCCGCCGAACTGCAAAAAGATAGTCACAATCAGAATAACGGAATCACAAAAAATGGCCAACTAGAAAGGACAAATAATTTTGAAGCGAATAATTTCAAGAAGAATGACGATACCAATGAAAATGATGTTCATTTAAATTTCCAAGGTCAAGATCAGAAAGAGAGTCTAAAGGATAAATACAATCCAAATAGTTTCCAGGTTCTCGAAAAAAGACAAAAAGAAGTAATCGATCCGAAAAATAACTACGTTAAAGAAGACATACCTATAGCAGTTAAGGTGAGAAAAATAATATATTTCTTTCATATGCGTTTAAGTGTTAATCTGATTATTTTTATCGTGTAGGAAGAGATTCAAAGTCTTGGCGATACAGATATCACAGTGAGCTGTAAAAGGCTTAATATGTGTAATCATACAACTGCTACTAAGCTCACGACTGATTTACTTTCACTTATGTTCACAAAAGAAAAGCTCGCCACTTCATCGATGACTGGGAAAGTAGGAAACATGCATATGCGAAAGGGTACTGCCGCCAAAATGCAGTTAGATGTTAGCAAAATTGCAGCTATTAACTGTAAGTGCCTGCGTAATATACTCAAAGCACTTTTTTAAATTTTATTATCTTTAGAAATAATAATATGTTTTAATATACTTCTTTAGCTTATGTAAAAAGTAAATTCCCTACTGTCGAGAAACTACAATCTGTCATCAACAAGGCCATTCAACAAAAATGTTGCAATGCTGCGAAAAGTGTGAAGCTTATTGCCTGCAATTTGAACAACATGACCCCGAAAGAGTAGCTCAAAAGCGTTGCACAGTTATAAGTATTTGTACTACTAAAGTTTTATTTTTTTTATACATCTTCTAATCGATGAAACCAAAGACAAGTTATTTTATTTTCATTATTTACTTTTATTAATTTTTATTCATTTATTTATTTTAGTCATTGAGCTTAGACTCAATTGTAAACCATATATATCTTTGATCGATAAATAATAGGTGAAAAGTTATGAAAAGCTATCCAGTGAACAGTGTTGCACATAAATAGATTATAAAAACTATGTTCGCGTTTATACTCATTTCGATTATACTTATTTTTTCCGTGGGGTGCTCTTTACGTGATTTGTTGTTTTTTTTATAAATTTGACTATTTTATTCTAATCATAAAGCAAAGTCTAACTTGAGTTTTAAATATTTATAAAAAAAATATTGCAAGATAGGATCGTTATATCTATGTTCTTTATAAAAGGGAATGCTAACCTGATGTGTTCGTAAAAATTTTTGATAAATATTGTGTGTAATTTCACACACAAACACGATGACATATACTTGTAAACTGTATAACTGTACAACAGAACTTAAGTATAAAAGTATGTATACGTATTTTGAGAGTTAAAAAGTTAAAAATGTTAATTTATTTATAACTCTGATGTATGTATAAAGCGGCGGCGCGTGCGAAGCATATGCTGCTTCTATATAAATGCCAAATAAATTATGTATGTATTTAATATATTATGCTTCTCTTACTTGACTTATTACTCCATCACATCCATAATCGCAATGGAATTTGTCAATAGAGTTATAATGCAAAGAAATTACATGATTAAAACCTTTTGTGTCTACGATCCAAAAACTCGGTCCGAGCTCTCGGACTGCTCAGACTGCTTCTAGCATCGTGGACACAAGGCTTAATAGTACTCAATTCGATCATCACCATTACGCTGTGCAATATTCACCATTGACAATTGAATAGTTACTATTGGCAATAGAAAATGGCAATTGACGAATTGAATGGTAACTATTGATAAATAATGACTCGTTACCATTGATCAATTCTATTATCACCATTTAACCAATGAATGGTTCTTTCAATCGTCCGCCAATTTACCATTCTAAACATTCCAATGGTTTTCCAATCGTTTTCCAATGGTTATTTTTCAATGGTACTCAATTGTAAATTTTCATCGGACGTGTCACCTCAACAAAGTTAGCCCCCCCAAGTGGATTATTGATATTTTTTTTTATCAATCGTTTGGTGATTGATTGGTAGTATTTGGTACCGTATTCAAAACGTTTGGTAGTTTCTCGTTTTTCTAGAAAATTAAAAACAAATTTTTGATTTTTTAGCCCCCCCACTTTGACTGTGGTAGTTTTTTTTTTTTTAATCGATTGGCGATCGATTGGCAGTGTTTGGTACCGCATTAAAAACTTTTGGTGGTTTCGCGTTTCTTTAGGAAATCGAAAAAACAAATTTTTGATGTTTTCTTAGTTCCCCCACTTTGACTGTGGTAATTTTTTTTTTTTTTAATCGATTGGCGATTGATTGGCAGTGTTTGGTACCGCATTGAAACCTTTTGGTAGTTTCGCGTTTTAAAAAGAAAGAATTAATTGTCAACAAATTTTTAACCTTCTTTAGCGTCTACACTTTGACTGTTGGGAATTTTAATTTCTTTTTTACCAATCGTTTAGTGGTTGATTGATAATGTTAAGAGCTGTAAGTTATTGAAAATTTTATTTTAAAGCCTTGTGTCCATGATGCTAGAACTGTGTCCGAGTTTCGGTTTAAGCCAATGAAACTGCTACTTTTCTGTAAGAGCTGCAAGTTGATTGGCTTAAGCGGGGAGTACACACTTCTGCACAACGCATAATGCGTAAGCATAAGAAAATTGATTGGTCTATTTCCTTATGCACATGTGTTATGGACCAATCAATTTTCTTATGCTTAGGCATTATGCGTTGTGCATCAAAACTCAGACGCAGTTCTAGCATTGTGGACACAAGGCTTAACTAGCAAACTTGCGACATTTGCCGACTTCAAGTCGACTTGAAGTCGGCAAATGTCGCAAAAACCACCGATTTAAAGTCGACTTCCCGTCATGATAAAATCGTCTTCCCGCCAACTTTTAAAGTCGATAAAACAAACCGCTGCGTACGTCTGGAGGTCGGTTGTGTATCTTGAAACGACAAAAATAAATTTTCACACTTTTGTAATTTTTACCTCACTATTTCAAGATACACAATCGACCCCTTGCTGGAGGGCTAAAACTGATGCATTTCGATTTTTTTTTTATATAAAATAATTTAATTATCTAAAAAACTGTATAATTACAATCCTAATGTTTTGTTATTAATTACAAAGGCGGCCATGCATATCTGTGCTACTTCTGCGTGCGCGGATTCCGGCAGCCACTTCTGGTAAGCTAACAACAGAACTAAAATTAAAACATTCCAGCGTTAATCGCGAAACAATATGCAAAAATTAGCTATATAAATATATATATATCATATTATCATCATAATGTTGTAAATATATAATAATATTGTTATATATATAATATTATAAATATATAATATCCACAGAAAACGCTGTAACTGTACACACTGTAGCTTTCAATAATGAATATATCTTACATAATATATCAAAGCACATGCATGGAGAGGTGCAGGGGAGTTTACATGCGTGAGCGCACGTGAGCGGGAGGGCTTTGCTCCTCTGCACCCCCCTCATGCATGCACTTTATAATTTCACTTTACAACTTAGCATGTACTTTAAGTTATAAAGTGAGGTTCACGCTGCCTACCGAAGGCCCCCCTTGCACTCCCCGTGTGTGTGTGTGTGTGTGTGTGTGTGTGTGTGTATGCATACATGCCGGGATTTATAGCGTTTTTTCTTGGCTGCACTACCGCCCACTAGTGCAACACTAGTGCAATACTAGTGCAACTTTATTGCAACTTTATTGCACTAGTGTTGCACTAGTGTTGCACTATAGTGCAGCCAAGAAAAAACGCTATTAGTTGCACATTTCGGGCCGATTCCCGAGGCGACGCCTCCTATACCTCCACTACCGCTCGAGGACCTGGCGGAAATATTTCTACAAAATTTAAAAAAAAATATAAGTGTATTACAAAAGACTATAAAATATAATTGCCAGAATCTATTAAATTCTACATGAATTTAAGAAGTACTACAAAATCCTACATGAAAATGCTAGAATTGGAACACTTTTGTAAATTTTTGTATTTTTTTAGTGCATTTTGATCTATAATTTTTTCGGTAAAACTACGCCAAACTACAACTAATACTGATATTCTACACATTTCTATATCTATTTCAGTACAGTAGACTACAAAGAAATACTAGAATTAAAACACTATCTAATGAAAAAATTCACCCGACATAAAAAAAATTATATTTATTTTAAAATTTTATTACTACTTTTTAACTAAATTTGTTTCTTAAGATACAACCTATGATTATAAATATTTTCTCGTACTTGAAAAACATACTTACCTTGATGGGATTCGAACTCGAGACCTCGGGACCTCTGGATCGTGAGCCAACCGTCTTACGTGGTAGACTATATACTCCTTAATTTGAGGTAAGTGTTATATATAGTCTACATGTGTCATAACCAGCGCAAATATATAATTTTTCAAAAATTTTTAAGAAACAAATTCAGTTTAAAAAGAATAATAAAATTTCGAATCGGATATACGAATATAATTTTTTCTTAATGTCGAGTGAATGTCAGAAACCAGTGCCGGCTCATTACAAAACAGGCCTATTGGGCCAACGTCGCGTCGCGCGATTATAAAAAGAAAAAAAACTTCTTTATTCTAACTTATCTGTAAAATAAAAAGCAAGTCATTATAAAAAAAATCTTATCCAGCACCACATACACACATGTCTAAAACCGCATAACCCGGGAAAAAATCTCTTATTTATTCATATTAGTTTATATTAGTTTATATTAGTAGATACATGATTATTATATATGATCATATAAGAAATGGAAAATATAATCTTAAACAATATTATATGCATGGCCATATATGAGAGTATATAATTATACATGGCCATATATAAGCATATATGATTATATACTCGGAAAAAAATACCTCTTATTTGTTCATATTAGTGAATATATAATTATATATGGTCATATAAGAAATGGAAATATAATCTTGAACAATATTATATGGCTAAATCTCTTTAAGTATAAACTTTATATAGTCATATATGGTTTTATATACTAGTACATTATCATGTGTGATCATGGAAAAGTATATTTATAAGGTTAAAGATAATCATATATGAATATATACTCTATAATGGATCTATCCATATAAATTTGTATAACTGTTATAAATATTTTTCTAATGGTATATTATTTTACTTGACAATATTAAATTAATATAAAATATATTATTTTTAGTTTCAGTTTACACAATTGCGTTTTAACTGTTTTAAGTCCGACAAAGTCTATATTGGCACGCAGTGCCAATTTAAAAAACTGAAACATGTAGGTATTTAATAATAATTGATATTGTGAAATATTATTAAGGAATCAAGATCCGCTTCGACCGAAAACGGCACTTCTCATTGCTTATATGTTATTTTAAGTTTCCTTTTTTTCTTGCATAAGATACTTAATTTTTTTAATTGATATATTAATTTTTACTTTCCATGGAAAGGTTGAAGGTTTGGTTGAAGGTCTGTTAATTTTCATGTAAAATTGTAGTATCTTATAAACATCTAAAAAAAGCAAATTTATGTAGATTTTCATGAATTCACGAGTTGTAAAAGGCTTAAGGATTTTGTTGTTTTCTGTAGAACCTTGTAGTATTGTATGCAAAATTACAATCATTCACGAATCAGAAATTTATATAGATAAAAAATTGTACATTTATGTATTTTTCTATTGGACTTTACAACAGACTATACGAAAATAAAAACATAAGTATTTTGACTTCTGCGTATTAAGAAGTTATTAATAATAGATGATTTTTGGAAGATTTGTGTAAAAACTTGTAACATTTGACTAAAAATTACAAATTTTAATTAGCCATAATTGTAATAAATTTTTGAGCTGTACAAACATATCGGTATTTGTTACTATTCATACAAAATTGTAGTATTTTATGAAAAACTAAAAACTGGATTAGATTCTAATTTGTATAATTTTACGATACGTAAATTATGGTAGATTTCTATAGTCATTTATAAATAATTCTAGTATTCTACAAGTAAGCAGATTTTTAATTTTTTAAGATTTTGTTTTTTCTTAAATTTTTGAAATTTGTAGATTTTTGTACTATTTTTTATAAAATGGTAGTTTTTCATAAAATACTACTTGCAATAATTTCTTGATATGAGAACATTGTAATTTCTGGTACTATTTCGTAGGTATTTCTACAAAAAAAAAATAACTATTTCTACAAAAAATTAAATATTTCAACAAAAATGTACAAATTTCTATTTCTAGTTAAATTTTGTTTGTCTAGTTATTCATAGAAATTTTTTCCGCCAAGGGGCTCAACGGCCGAGCCGCCGATCGCTCACGTGACGCGTCATCTCAGGAGCGTCGCGCATGCTATAAGCATGATGCAACTGTAATCTCCCCCGAATAATATTAAAAAGTTATTTATGTAGGTTAGAATATATAATTATAATTAAGACAATATATAGTTTCCGCGCCACCCATAAGATACTATTGCTGACGCGTTTTTTTTCAAGTGGTTTTCCCAGTAGGCCTATTCCACTAAA